TTTATTTATTTCCCAATACGATTATCAGTGTAATGTTATACTAATACTTGTTCAAATGTACTGAAAATGATAGGGTTTTTATAAACATTGTTGTTTGTAGAGTAGTTCAGAATCTGGGGTTGTAACTTCTAAATGTTTATCCTTGTACTCTGTGACTGTCATTTTCTTAGCAACCAAATGGAGCATCAAAAGATGGGTCTCGCCAATTTTTATTCTTACACTTTAAAATTGACTTATTCTGATAGTTATCTGTTCAAATGTACTCAAATTTGAATGTTGTTATCTATAATGCTATTTCTAGAGTATCTATGCATTTGGGTTTATAAATGTCTTACTTTCTTACTATTACTTTGGTTGCTGTGAAAACCAAAGTAAAACAAAATAGATTGTGATTTATTCATTTACTTTCTTACTATTACTTCCATGTCTTCTTCTTCTTCTACATTCCCCCCCCCCAATTGACAAGAATGCTTTGAAGTTCAAAACAAAACCGTTGGAGCACGTGGAACTTATGCGAAGGGTGTACAAAGGTGCCACAACAACTGGAAAATTTGCATGGACACTCAATGCAGATTTCAAACCAGACTCAACGGATGACATGCCTTTGCCTATGGATGAAGAAGATTGCGAGGACAATAGCAATCTGCCCCCTTTCTAGCCTGCCCAGCACAGTGAGCACACTATGGAGGATTGTTATGCACCTGTGGAACAAACTCCCGTGACAGTATGCACTGCGTCGTCGACAATTCACGTTGATGACACACCTACAAGTGGTGTGACCAAATGCAAAATCCAAGCCACAAAACAGTGGCATTGAAAAAAAGGGCAGAGTGAAGGAGCTTCGAAGTTGGCAAGTAGCATGGAAAACCTTATGTCCTCAGTCAAGTTACAACAACGCGAGGTCCAAGTGCTTCATGATTACGGAAATTTGACGCAGGAGGTGATTGGCAAATGCCTCACAACGTTATACTCTCTGCACGGTATTGATCCGGAAGACCTGCTAATACCTTTCGTTGTTTCGCTAATGGACAACCCGACAAATCAATCCATATTGTTGTAGCTTCCGACAGATGAGGCGGTCATTAGTTGGATGCAAATCAAGAAGTCTCAAAATTCCAGGGGCCCATCCGCGCCAACGCATGGATCCGGAATGGGGGGCTAGTTTTGAGGACATGTTTCACCTCATAGTTACTGAAGTTTCAATATAAACAAACATATCTGCTGCTAAATTTGTTTGGTTCTTTTTTTTTGTTTTGTTTTTTTTTCCCTCCCTAAATACTGCGACATTTACAAAAATCTCGGTTTGGTTTATGCTATTGAATTGTAGTGGTTTATTTATTTATTTATTTTTGCTAGCAGTTCATACACTTTTCATATTTCACCATTGAAGTTGTTGACATTTTGGTGGAAAAATAGTAAGTAAAAAAAAAAGTTTGGAAACAAGGTTAGTGACACACCTAAAAAATTATACGAAATACTAACACAACATATGGTGGTTATTTTGTAAAATAAATATTCACACATGCATAACAAATTATTCATCATTTCATTTACGTGTGCTTCGTATAGGTAACATGGTGGACGAAGCCGATCCTAGTAACATCTATGGAAATGTAGGGTTATAGGAAACAATCGATGAAATTGCGAGAGAAATGGTGTTAGAAACTGATCACAACTTACAAAAAGCATGGAACAATGTGACAACGTATTATTACAACCATTATTACAAAGTCCCGCAAAATACATCAATATTGTTAGGACGTTTATGGATGTACTAGTTGTTTAATGGCCACTCAGGCCGGTTTGAAAATGCCGTTAATATGCCCCGACTAGTCTTCTTGTTGTTGTGCGACTCTCTTTAAGATTTTGGATTGACAGTGCCGCAGCGAAAGCATCGGGTGCCGCTCGAAGAGAATGTAGCGATTTTCATTTCTATTTTGCAGGGAGTTTCTTGGAGAAATTTGCAAGAACGGTTCCCACACTCAAAGGAGACATTATCACGGCATTTCCACGAGGTTTTGCAAGCTATGATACCATTTACGTCGATTCATAGTAGGAGTCTTGCACCGGAGCAAGTCCAATAAGTGGGCCATCCACATTAACGGTCGAAGCGACAGTCCTGGCCATGCAAGGTGACGCTGTGTATCAATTTCGATGCTTACAGTTATTCATAAAATCTGAAATTTTTAATTTACATTTTGTAAAATGCTTGCGTCGCGTAGGACTGCATTGGTGCACTAGACGACACGCACATGATGGCCCGTGTCTCCCAAGAATACGCCACTTTGTACTATGGCTGGAAAGGCGTGCCAATGCAAAATATTATTATCGTTTGTGACTTTGATTTGTGCTTCACATTCATGTCCGCCGGTTGGGATGGGAGCATGCACGACAGCAGGGTGTTGCACTATGTCACAACCGAGCCTAAACATCGATTCTTACACCCCGTGCCTAGTAACAAATTCCCTTTTGTCCAACTTGTTTACCTGGACCACTGTGTTTCTTTTATGCAGATTATTTGTGATTAACAAATAAAATATGTAGCACCACCATGAATATATATATATATATTATAATTTGTCTTAACTGTATTAGGAAAATTATGTAATAATTGTTATAAACATACCTAACATGTAATATGAAAATTCATACACAATGGTTCCCATCTAGGAAAAACAATGTGGGTGCCGACCCTTTTTTTAAGTCGTGATATGTGACTAAGCATTTTTTATAATGTAAAAAAGTTAAGAGAGGTTATTGTAACAAAATGTATTTTGTTACAATCAAAAACAATTTTTTCTCGATTTTCAAAATTATTCCAAAAAAGTAGCAGTACGAACTAACAAACAAAATAATATATTCGAAAAGTATGAATAATACACAAAATTTTATTGCTCGAACATACGTTGTCATGAGCGAATATCGGCAACATGAGCGAATATTACATACGCACTGCGACAACAAACGCACGTGTAAGGCCGAAGCATTTGTTGTTGTGGCAGGTGTTATCTTTGCTGTATGTTGTATAAAATTTATGTATGTTGTTGAAAAAAATTATATTACATCATCATATAGCTTACAAGGATATAATTTGTTGTACAAAATTATCAACAACCAAAAATAATATTGTAATTAGCAACAACAATCAAATTCATAAACACGTCAGGTTTATAACATTGTAATTGTATTTTTAAATTTCTGAGATAATAAAAATAATTTTTAAAAAAACTTTTGCTAAGTTTGCATTAACATTATTGAAATAATTTATAAACTTATAATATTATTGTTTATGACCACAAATGAATATAGAAAATATGAAGTATGTGTATATTTCACGTAACAGCTACGGTAATATATTTGTAGTGTGAAGTCTCATTCTCTACCAAATATGAAAAAGACGAGAGAGAAAAAAATTTGCACAAATGTCCGAGATGTTGAAAACATTATAGCATAGTGCAACCCCAAAAAAATGTTTTTTTCCTTGACTAACAGCAGAACATCACTCGTTTTTGTTTAATTTGTCACATTTTAATTTTTTTCGGCTTTTTTTAATTAATTTATTTATTTTTGGTTTGCTATTTTTTTTCATGTTACAAACCTTGTACTACTGGGCTGTCACCATTATGATCTTGTTGAATTCAACACAACAATGTATGTATCCAACAACAGTGCACAGATCATGAGTGTAAAGAAAAAAAATAAAAAATTATATGGAGGGACAGGTGCACCAGTAGCATAATGCCACCATTATGGTTTTGTTGAATCGACACAACAATGTATGTACCCAACAACAGTGCACGGATCATAGGTGAAGAAAAAATTTAAAAAACAAAGAAAAAAAAGAAAAACAACAACAACAACAACAAAGCCACTGCACAAAGCCAATGCAACTTAGTGCACTCAGAACAGACCATGACAACCGTACTGACATGTACAGAAAGCATGTCAGTATTTAGAGGGGTAAGAAGGTAATCTTGATATTTTATACAATATTTGAATACACAATTTTTCATAAAAAGTCAAAAAGTTATCTCAAACAATCATATTTTTTTCTTCTACTTTTTTGACCCAAAAGTCAAAAAATCCACTTATATAATTCATCCCAAACAACCCTTTAGGTTAAGGTTTCTTATGATTTATCTTTTTATATATTAACAAATAAGTGGTTGAGATTAGTTTTCAAATTAAATAAATAGTTGAGATGAGATTTGATTATATTATATTTATATAGTTATAAAATGTATGTGTTTGTGGGCCGTAAACAGGTCATTTTCAGATCACGGGTCATGTTCATGTTAACGGGGTTACATGTCAAAATGAACGGGTTAAACGTGCTAATTTCAAATTACGCAATTTCAACCCAAACACGGCCTACTTATTATATGAGTTCATAGATCGTGTCATATACGAGTTCGTATTAAAAAATACTCAATTCTAATCCGTTAACTTCATGCACAGTTCAAGTCATGCTGAGAATTCCCACCCCTAAACAAACCCACACGTTTTGACAAATTTATAATTATTAAGTTACATGCAAGTGATAACATCAATTCTATAGATCTTTTTAACCAAATTGAATATTTTCCTTGCTTTCACCTACTCTTTACCATCTTTTCCTCCTCATGTGTAGTTGCAGATGCTACAAACAACGTTTCTGATTGAAGCTTCCTCGTAGAGTTACAGAACAGGGAAAACAAATTGCGAAGTTCAGGAAATTGAGAGAGAGAAAGAGAGAGAGAGAGAGAGAGAAGTGAAGGGCATTTCTGGTGGTGGAGAACCTGAGGGAGGTGGGCTAGAGAAGAGAGAGGGAGAGGCCGGTTTGCAACGAAAAGAAAACGACGAGGGGAAAGGAGGAAGAACAGATGATTGAGATTTGAGACTATGGAGAGAATGAAAGGGGAGTGATCGGGTGTGATGTGAGTTTGGTGCCACACGGTTAGATTTCGTGATGTCACATCAGTACAAGAAATAAATTTATTTATTTTTTAAATAAAAAGAAAAAGACAACAAAAAGCTCAATTTTATTAACAATAAAAATCAATCAGAAAAAGTTCTCCTTTCTCTAATAATAAGGCAAGCTTGGGTTTCAAAGCTCATGGAATCGTTTCAAGTTAAAAAAAAGCAAGCTGCCTTGTGAGAATTCATGCTATACAACATCGCACCATAAATTACAATAAAGCAATAATTTGACAAGGTAACATTTTTAATATATTGGAGTCCAACCGATATGATTAAACAATTAAAAAATATATCTTTCGATGATGAGCATAACTGTACCATTAATTTGGCTAAATATCATATTGAAGCGGCCATGTTGAGAAGTCACTTCGTCATGCAGAGCCCATAGAAGAACCCATTACCTGAATCTGTGACAGCAAAGATGGGGCAGACATAGCTGTAACAAAAAAAATATACTTTCTACCAATAAATAATACATACAAGCTTCTTGTTGAACCGAAATACCTTATTTACGAGCAAGTTAACTTGTTCTCTATACATCTCCTTCAAGTCCACGATATCAGCACGAAGTTCTTCCAGCTTACAAAAAAAATATATATATATATATGATTAATAGGGAATTATTTGTTGTTAACTTGCTGCTGTGTTGCTACTATTACTAACAATTTTAGTACAAATAAAGCACCATGTGGCGCACACGGGAGGGGAGAGAGAAAGAGAAGGGTGAAAAATGGGAGTCCTATAACAGTATAGGGTTGGCTGTCATAAAATTTAAAGTTCTCTGCGCGACATAATGGCAATTGGCAATGAAAGAGAGTGAAGTTTTATTTCTTCTTGCACACCTATGGCAGAAATAAAAAAATAAAAAAAGAAAGAAATCCCCACCTTAACCGCCTTCAAATGAACAAGAAGATGGAAAGAGCTACTGGTTTTATGGGAAGAGGACAACAAGATCTAGGACGAATCCATTAGTAACTTAAAGATGGCACCCTCATGCTATGTTTGGTTCACAGAAATGAAGTGAAATGGAATGATCATTTCATCATAACACCCATTCTCAGTTTGGTTCACCAATTAAAAATGCATTAAAACTAAAATCATAATTGATCATAGCAAGGGAATAGTCATTTCATAAGGAGGCTAAGGAATGATGATTCTATTCTATTCCACTGAACCAAATACTATATTAAAAGTTTTTCACGTGTTCATCAAAGGAAGATATAAAATCCTACTTAAACTATCCCTTAGAATCTAATGATCTCATTGCAGTTCTAGTTTTGCAAAGACCAACCTATGACATTTATTACAGCCATAAAGCCACACAGATGGGGGCTTACAGTAATATCATTTTGCAGCCAGCAGCCAAGGCTTGATGTAAATGTGTCATAAATAGCTACTCATGTTTCCCAATCAACGGTCCTCATGCTAGTCATAGCATCATCATTCCCTCAATAATTATTTATCTACGCGATATTACATACAGGAAAATGCCATTCCTTTTTCTGTTTTGGGTGGCAACTTACCAAGATATAGGCACGCTAGCCATGCTCAACTAATCTCATATGCAGTACCTTATCAAGAAGGAATACTAGTATCACAATCCCCATAAATAAACCTTTTCCACAACTGCATTTACCACGTATGTTACATGGACTAGGTACAGGTGTCAGCAGGTGTGTATCTAGAGGGGGTATGTGGACTTGACAAAACAATGTCAAATTTTCATATTTTAATTTATTATGTGAAATAAAATAGTGTTACATGTAACATATAGTTTCAAAAAGACATAGCAATTATACAACAATATCCACATATAATAGTGTTAAATACAAATATATAAGAAGCGTCAGGTGTGACATTAAGAAGTGTAAATAAGTAGGGTAAGGGATATGTGTCCTTTCCAAGCATTGGGTGTCCGACACGGATATTTAATTTATTTTGAAGAGTCCATGTAACATAATTTACCAATATGACAAACACAATTATATGAAATTAATGTACCTCCTCATCACGTTCACCCATTAGCTCCAGAGCTGCAGAGTGCCTCCGCCTTAGTGCCTCTAACTCTGCCCGGATGCCAGGCAGAATGGCAGCCTCTGCCCTTAATTTCTCACACTGCAAACCAATGTAGTGAAGCTTCATAAAAAAACAAGAAAAATAAGAAGATATAAAAACAATCATGCTGATAAAGGAAAAACTTACCTGTGCAGTCATTTTAACCAACTCCTCAGCAAGAGAGTCACGGATGGATTCCATAGATTCCTGAAGCAAATAACAAGACAAGAAGTAACTAATGAGAGATAAAGACAGATCAACAGGACGAATGACAAAAGAGCTTATGACAATAAACCCAAATTCTAGTCAAGCATTGGGTAAATGGAATACTGCATGCTCAAAAATTTAGTGCATATGAAACTACACTTTGACCGAGCATTATGCGCCAAATAAAGTTTAAATCCAACATAATGATGCTCCATACCAGTCGAGACATATAAGATGCGAGTTCACCCTCCTTCTGGCGAAGGCTGGCTTCAAAGGCACTAGGTGGCATGCTCTTCATAAAATACGGACTAATGGCTGTCTCTCCTGGATTTCTCCGCTCAGAGAAACTGTCAGAAGAGTCTAAAGATGCTTGCAGATAAAAACTTTCCTCCATACTGCTTAAACTGCTAGCACTTGAAAGTCTGCGGGTCATATTTCCTGTATAAAATACAAATTGGTAATAATTACTTTAGAATGAATAAGACACCACTTCAACTTTAATTAAATCAATTCTGCTGATGTTACCATTTTCAAAGCCAGATTTGCGCCTTGTTATAGGACTTTGGTCAGGTACAGTGGAAGGCTGAAGGCGAGCAGTCCTTTCAAGTTCCAAACGAGCAGCTTTCTCTTTATCAATCTCCTGGTAAATTATCAGGAGCCTAATTCAGGAAACTTGTACATGGCATGGATAATTTACAACATAATTAGAAAATGTATGGCCTGTGAATCATCCAGACCACAGATGTGAAATAAAGGCTTGTGTCTTTGTTATGCACTCTTCCAGTCCTTAAAATTTTTACATACAACCTAAATTGACCAATATCAGAAAAGATTTTCCAGTACCATCCTTTTTACTAACAACTAAACAAAGAAATTGCTTGACCAGTTTAATTGTTTTGCTTTTGACTAAATAAAAGTTCAGTTAAATATTAGTTTAAAGCACGTTTCAACTCAAACAGATCCCCGTAGAACATGTAAAAAAGGGCACACATAACACTTGTAAAAATCCAGAAATATTATTCAGTGTAATGGCAATGGGGTGTGTTAACAACACAAACAGTGGCTGCAACAGTGACAATCAAACAAATGGTAAATTTTTTTTAATAAGGTATTGTATTAACGAGACACCACTATAGCACAAAATTAAAAAGCCTAATAAGGAACTTAACCTTGGATGTCTAATTTCAAAATTATGTAGTAGTTGGCCATCATTCAGCTGTTCTTTTCATCATCCTTTAAACAATCAAATATTGCAAACTTTTCAAAAACCAAGTTGACGGCAGCAATGAGAGATACATCTCTATGGTCAATGGACATGACCACAAGATTATTTCCAAGGCCAGAATTGACATGAAAACTACACAAAACCCAGATGTGGGGACACATCCAACCTATGCACATATTTCACAGTTGATGACATTTCAGGAAGTTTTAGAACCTGAAGACATAACTAATAATATGCACAAGCCAAACAAAAACAATTTGCACAAAATCAAACCCTTTTTTATCTGTTTGATAATCAGTCAGACCCGATATAAACCAAATGCAAATCCTCTTCTTCGCAGAATAATCCTAACAATCAAAAGAGATTGTTCATGCCACTTGGGATATTGTCAATGATCCCTTCCATGAAATGTGAGAACTGATCTGGTCAATTCTCAAACCATACACCTTCTTTAGACCATGTAAAATCCCAAGGCTATAGAATGTCTAGATCTAGCATCGAAGTGCATGCCACTTCTCAAAGAATAAGACATATCTTGTGACAGTTATATATTTAACCAACATGGAATTACGGATATGAATAAGGCACTACAAAACCGAATTACATGCATATCCATACATATATATGTGTGTGTGTATATCTAGTGAAGCATGACGATAGAGTCCTCACAAATACCCTATCATATCTACCTTTTCACTTTCTCCTACATTTATCTCATGTGTAGACCTTGATATGAGTTTCTTTGATGCAACTCATGTTGACATTTCAAATTTAAAGCTTTTACTACAGCGTCACTTGATAATTTTGATATTAGTAGTGTATTGAATCACGCATGCATACACCATAGATGATAGTTTCACCATGATCTGTGTTTGCATACGAAAATAGCATACACAGCACTACTTATACCAAGCATAACTTAACAAGATTTAAACTGTTCTCCAAACTGAAAATTAAGTAGCCTTTGAGCTTTATTTGATGGCTGAGAAGTTGGATAAAATTTATCAGGTAATCACAAGTTCTCCATTTAGTTTTATATTTTATTTTTCCTAATGCTTGCCAACAATAGAACTATCTCTAGAAATGCGAAGCAGAACAAATTGACATCCAAATGTATATTTTGGTTCATTCATCACTCGTATTGACTCAAATAGTTCAAAACACCTGATACATACACCAAAGGAAGGAACAAAAAGTAAAAGATGTAGAATGCAATTATCATGCAAAAGCAAACAAGGGCATCACTTAAATGATGGTGTCTTCAACTATTTAATTCTTAATAATTTACAACCAATTAGATTGACAAAAGGGCAGGTGGGGGATTGGGAATCACCAGAGTCCTCAGTATGAGGAAGTACAATAAGCATTGAGATCTTATGACAGCAAAATCCAAAAAGGGAAAAGAAAAACAGAAAAAAAAAAAAAAGGCACCTACTGGAGGCTATATTGGAACTCTCCACCATTAAAATATTCTATTTATGTATGTATTCATATCATAACTAAGCAACTCTCTATATATGTACGGAAAGGGAAGAATTAATAAAATCCACATCTACAGAGCAATATTAGCTAAGTCTCCAGACCATTTGGACAGTTCCCAATTACATGCAAAATTCAAAAGGGATATTACAGTCCATTTAGTAATTTAGTTTAAGAAGATTTTGCCTCTCGGTTTCAATGTGGGAAATTACAAAGCAGGCAATGACTGATTTGTTTGTAATGGCCGCTCGAAGTGGGAGTGCCAATGGTTGCGGCAGACAATTAGATTGAGGTGTTTCATAGCAACTATTAAACAAGGGCAAATTAGATTTCCCATTCAAGTTATTACAACTTAGCACAGTACTTCAGTTTCTTTTTGTCAATGTCCTATTTTTTTGAGACCAAGAGTAGAATATGACAAAATTGACAATAATTGAAGGTTCCATGGCCAGAAAACTATCATGAGACAGTTCTGGTTCAAAAGACAGAGGTAAGGAAAAAACATATTTAAACAAAAAGAAAAAGAAAAAAAGATGAAGTGACCCAACTTATACTATTTATGTAGTAATTAAATTAGGATAATTTTGTCAATTTTAGCTAACGTCGCCCTTAAGGTGGTGACGCCAGCAATCACCATAAAAATGTATTAGAATTTTTTTAGTCAATGGGCTAGATGAATTAAAAATTTTACCATGATTCTAAGATCTGTAATGCATACCTCTCTTTTGAAGAAAAAAGGTTCAAATTATAACACCCTCAAAGAAGTTCAACAAACCATGACATAATTGAGGACTCTGATTAACCATCTCAATTGTTATACAATCAAGAAAAGAAGTCTGCAATGTTTTTGGAGTTCTACAGGCCAGAATTCAAATTTGGAGGAGATATTCATTGTGACCAGTTGAGTATCAAAATTTGTTAGACTTTAGTGTACAGTGCACATTGTTAATGTAGCCAAGGCTTAAATACTCAGCCCGTGCTAGACAATTGATGGGATATCATTAATACTGAAAGATCTTGTAAGAAACCTAAGAACCACAAGTGTTACCTGCTGCAAAAGTTCCCGGTGCGTTAGTGCTTCTTGTAGCTCCTCCTTGTATTTCCTCCTGAGCTCCCTAATTTCTTCTTCAAGCTGGGAGACACGACCTTCATGTGTGTCTGCTTCCTCCTTTGCTGCAAGATATTCCTGTCTATTTTCTGCAGCTCTCTGTCTCTCCTTTTCAAGGGACCGACTTAGCTGTGTCTGCTCAGCTCTAAGACATGAAATCTACAATGCCACACTTGTGTAAGCCAAAGATTACGGAAGAATTCCATCAGTAGCACCAATTATAATGACAGAAAAAAGAATGACCTGAGCTTCAAGGACGTTCACTCGAGATAAGGTTTGTGATAACCGTTCATTTACAGATCGCTCTCTTTCTTCTGCTGCTGCAGCTTTGGCCTCTGCTTCCTGCAGATTCAAATCTTAGAGAACATGAACAAGTCTAAAATACAAAACTAAAAGGAAAAGGACAGTTCAGGAAAACCTGAAGCCGTGAGTTTAGGGATCGCTCAACAGCAGCCCAAGCTTCTGCCCTTCTTCCAGTTGTCTCCTGTTAGCAGTAGAGAAAGGATTTGATTCAACATAAGCCAAAGAAATAGATAAGCGAACCAGTTTACTGCATAAAAATCCTAAAAGTCACAGATAAATATGCATATGCAATATACAGATCTACCTGCATGGCTTCAATCTGCCTTAGAAGAGGCCTAGTAGATTCAGGAACTTGTGTTACCAACTCCTCGCACCGACGCTCACTTTCCTGGATGCCAAAAAGAAAAATAAAATCATTGTATCATCTTGAAAACTATTGATTAAAAAAACTAAAGAAACAAAATATAAAAATGATAAATAGGTAAATTAAACTTATGTTTATGCCGCCAAACTCAACATACTTGATATCGTTTTTGAAGATCCTCAATGTCTCTGCGTAGCATATCTTCTCTAAAAACAGCCTGCGGTAACAAAATGAAACTTAGTTTTTGGCAGGTCCAGTGGTTGAACTTGCAATCTCAATACTCTAAATATGAACCTGCTGCTCCTTTCTACTTAGAGTTTGCCTCAATTCTTCAAGTGCTTGTACTAGCATAGTTTCACGCTCCTCAGCCTCTCGTAGACGACTCTCCAGTGCAGTTCTGGCTTCATTATTGGCCCGTGCCTCTGCCAATGCTTCAGCTTCCTTGGCTGTATTCAAAGCATCTGTATAGAATTCTTTTTGAGCTGAAATTTCTGCCTGGTGTTTTTCTATTGTTTCTTGCAGCAATTTCTCAGTCGCAGCCTTATCCCTCTTCATACTCTCTACTTTATTCTCCTCTACCTGGTAAATGGTACAAAGAAAGAACATGGCATCAGTTTTTGTTTTTTTTCCAAAGAAAAGGGGTGAAAAAAGAAAAAGAAAAAAAGAAGAATAGAAATTAGAGTACAGTAACCAGCAAGGGTGGTGTTTCAATTAAGATGTGGCTTACAAATACAGTAAGTTGAAGTAGTAATTTCATCCAAGTGTAGTGACTGGCTGGTTTGGCAATTGTTTTTTTAGCTGCCTTTTTGTCTTTTTAGGATATCTTTGCTAAAAAAAAGCTGATGTGTTTGGTAAATGCAAAAAAAGTTACTTCTTGTTATTAGGAAAGTTGGATGGGTCCGTAGCTTTTTTATTTATTTTTTTTCAATTGTTAGATTTTTTAGCAGATAACAAAGAAGCTTTTTTTTTTTTGGTCTTAAATAGCCAAAAAGTGACTTTTTTTAGTCGAAAGTGGGATTTTAGCCTAATTTAGGCTAAAATCCACAAAAAGACAAAATAGGCTAAAATAGCTAATAAGACAAAATTTCACATCAAACCCATAATCATTTCACTTTTTCTCTCACAAACATCACATCCAACTATAAAAAAATCCAATCATCTTCCCAAACACAAAAATTTTAACATACTAAAATAGCCAAAAACTAAAATAGCCTACTAAAATAACAATTTCCCAAACACCCACAACGTATGAAATAAGGGAAGGGGGAAAAAAAAAGATGAAAAACTAAATGCCAATTCAAGTGACATATGTCTAAACAGTTACTTCAGGAGGTTTTTACACTGTTGATGCCTCATTTTTGTTCCCACTTGAGTGCTAGCTCTTTATGTTGTGATCAACATCGGACCAACAAAATATACAATGTGACAAGAATTAAGGATTAGTCCAAAATGTTGGTGGCTGAAATTCTTTTGACTAAGCTTGTAGCAAGCTCTAATGTAGAGCAAACTTGAGCCTCAGAAAGAGATTTACAAAACAGCTGGAAACATTGTCCATCATATTCTATAAGTCTAACAGGGGAAGCAAATAAAATTTTCAAGTAACATTCTCAAAGTTTACATTACACAAGACAAGGAGTAGGAAGGAGGCAACAAACAAACAAATCTAGGTAACTAATATTGCACTGCTAACCAACCAAAGAGATAATATAAATATATTATACTGCCAGACACAAAGACATCTATTCTCTATGTGATTTATTTTTGTAAAACCCTCCAAATTTACATGCATGTTGCGTACCAATAGAAAAGCATTATCTGCTTCCACTTTCAATTATTCCAGATCCCACCATGTCTTTCTTTAAAAGGAGACGACAAATTTGCAAAAGCACTTATCATCAAAGAAGCACGGACACGGACACGTGACACGACATGAATACGACACGAACACGTAGACATGGCAATTTTCAAAAAATATAGGACACGACACGTGGGGGACACGCACAGAATATATAATTTTATATATTTAATGTATGTCATATATATGAACATGTCATTCTAAGGCAATAAATAAATACAATATAACACTGATTTCTATAAATTGACATTCTTTTTCCTTTATCATCTTATTCTAAGTTATTTTGTTCAAACTTATGGACACGCATGTCCTTCACATGTCTGAAGAGTGTCCGAGTTCTAAATTCTTTACAAAAAAACTAGGACATGTTTGAATGAGTGTCGGGCACATGTCGGGAGTGTGTCTAATGAGTGTCGGTGTCTGACACGAACACGACACGGATACACTACCTTTTTAGAAGTGTCCATGCTTCTTAGCTTATCATAGTCTTAGAAATATGTTCCCTCGAGTCCCAACCCACCAATGTGTAAGCTCACACAAGAAAAATTGACCTGAGGACATGCCAAAATTATTTACTGTATCCCAAATAGAGAGACAAACAATGGATCTAATCAACAAGTGGCCCATAGATTCAGCATCTGATTGGCAAAGATACATCAAATATGAGCAAAATAAATGACAAAATTAAAAGACAAAATGTACTTTAAAATAGTTATTCCACATTTAAAAATCAAAATCAATGACCATAGACCAACTAAGAAAAAGCTACCTCAAATTGTACTAAAGGTATCCACATAAGTTTCTTCAGAAATACACTAATACCACTGCCCCAAAACAGAGAGAATGGTCAAATAAAGAGAACTGAAAAAATTTGTTCAGCTTCAATATTCTTGTGGCATTTATTAAAGGGCCCAGACTAAACCTTTAAATATTTTCAGTAAAGCCAGTAAAGATCCTACCAGCCAAATTCTGGATGTTCCATTAGATACTTTGACCAATTTGGGGTGAAAGTTCTTAATTCAATGTTGTTTTCTTGGATAAGTTCTTAATTTTTAAGATTTTCATGATAGAAAAAAATAATATAAAAATTCCAAATGCCAGCAACCAAAAGATTCATCTAGGAGGGTAAAACAAGATCATTTGAAAAGACAAATTTGGTAGTTAATCTTGTCAGGTTTTTAATTGTAAGGTAGCAACCAAAAGAATCATCTGGGAGGGTAAAACAGAATCTTTTGAAAATCCATATTATGGCAGCTAATCATTTAGACCAGCTTTGTACATGGTTGTGTCTATGGGTGTCCAGCAATATAAAGAGTTGAAGGACATACCTTTACATCCAGTGGCCCAGCCAAGATTTTGAAACCTTAGCAAGATCTATTACAACCCAACCGAATCCGATTTTCATTTGGTGGTAGGACAACTAAAGATTGCCAAAGATATATGTTACAGTTATGCTCAAGTTAAATATTTGATTTGATTTGATTTTTTTTTGTGTGTGTGCTGATTTTTTTCTTTTTTAATACTTAATTTGATTCTCTCATTTAATTTATAAACATGATGATCGTAATAATTTAAAATGCGATAACATGTCTCCATAAAAAATGAGAACAAAGTTACACCAAGGTACACATGCAAAAAAGGGAGATAAAGAGAAAAATGAGATAAATAATATAAAATTTATAAGAGAAGATTTTAACAAAATTAACCATTTAAAGTGACAAATTGCATGGTTTTTGTTAGAAAGAAAAAATTAAAAAAGAGAGATATAAAGATACACGGGTCATACTTGAGACTATAAAGGAATTAATTGAAATATATGTACAAAATAAATTAGGGATAAAAATGTATTTTTAAAAACATTAGGAGAGGCATGCCCCTTTTGGTTCTTACATGGCTCTGCCACTGCTTACATCCTAAGATACCATTTTTTATGAGCACCCTTAGACTCTAAAAATTGAAGAGTGGTAATAGCATATGTAACTAGGTCAGCCTTGCATTTCAAACAAGTGAATGCCAGTCCCAAAGCATTGGCTTTGACTTTAAGAGGGTGTTACTTGTTAGTGCTCAAAGGCAGCCAGCTGGTCAAGCATTTGGGAAATCATTGTGGGATCATAACCTTGTCCTTGCATTCAGTCTGAACAATACTGGTAAGAAAAAAAACCTAATTGGCACTTAGGGATAGGCTCTCTTTGTGAATCTTTGGAAATTAAGCAGTAGTAATTAGATAGGTTTTTATGTCAAGTTGCAGCCAGTGGAGGAATGCTTTCTGACATATACACAAATGCACTTGCATATATAGGGAACTATTCAATAGCAACTTACAGCAGGCCCAACCAACTTGAATTTGCAGAGTCAAAATTTTCAATGAAAATGCATTTCTAACTTCCCACAGCAAGTTTTGACTTAGGTAATGGGCAACCAAAGCCGTCTCTATTTTGTTCCAGTTCCTTCTCTCTCCTTTCTTTCCTTGAGATTATGAAATAGAAGACCAAAAATTTGTATAAAATCTTTGGAAAGCAAAAGAATCCATGCCAAGTGGGACATGCATAGGAATCAGAGCTCCAAACAATCTATGCATTCTGCTATCATTTCCAATCGAACGACATTAATCCAACTAGTTGAAGATTATAAATAGATAAATACATATACATATATATATATATATATTTCCACTAGAGATTAGGAATAATAGAAAAGGTAGAAATTTGTGCACTTCGAAGAGCAATTTACCTCGGAAGGAACACAAAGGCAAACGACAGGGTCACAACTAATTCTAAAATAAATATTACATAGATCTCACAAAATTAGATGTGGATAAATTTAATTTACGGGGAAACTTTTGGTTAAGGAAACTGAAAATACAAATGACCTAAGAAGCACAAGAACTTCTAAGGAGGTGGCGTGTCTTGTCAGACACTGACACCACAAGACACTCATTGGACACTTCTAGATACCTATCAGACGCACGTCCAAATATGTCTTATTATTTTAAATTTTCTAGAATTGGACATGCTAATACATGGGAACTTTAACGACCAACTCTATGGGAACTTTTTGGCCAAGGGAAGCGAATATATAGATGGCCAGTTCTACATGATTAGTCCATATATCTATACAATGCACTAAGACAAACAATAATTTTAAAGAATGTTTTCAGAATCCAATTACCTGCAGCTTTGTAGTTAGTCCTTTCTTCTCTTCTTCAAGCTCTCTAATCTAGCTTTCATAAAAGAAGTAAGATTGTTTGAATTAGCAAAAGGTGTAACAGCAACAGGATTAGTTTCTCAATAACAAGTCAGCAGAGTAGATTGCCTACCTGCGCCCTCAATTTCCTAATATGAGATTCTTGAGCAGCTTGCTTCTTTGAGAGCTCTTCACCTGCGATGAATAATGAATATCATCAAACATGATCACCACACAAGAAGGGCCGTCTTACCTCCAGTAGAGATATGCACTATTTGTTCATAAGCAGTTCAGATCAGATTAGAAATTTCTTAAGAGGTGGAGATAGAAACAGATATAAATGCCACCTGTTCATATAAATGGCTCTGTGGTTGAGATTCTAAAATAGAAACAAATATAATCTGAGATTGTAAGAAGCAAATATAATTAGCTCTGTGCTCGCCAATTTATCTGTTCGTACTGCCACCTGTTCATTTTTTACCCCAAATATTGTATCTAGTTAAGAGTCTTCGACACTTTTAACTCAACTCAATTGAACTTCAAATTTTAACTCCTTGAATTAATAAATCTGCACCTGATGTAATGTGTAACACCATCCAAAGAAGCATCCTCTCCTAGACTCCTAGAGGTCACTTAGTTTTTATTGTCTCAAAGACTACAGTAATTAATGCCACTCTACCTTGAACAACAAAGAAAGCTTTCTATGCACCATAAAACAGACACAAAGAACTAGAATATATAACAAACCCCTTTCAGAAATGCATTTCACACCTTCAGCCATAACTTGAGTGATTATTTCATCTTTCTCCTTCAAAAGAGCCGCAGCGTCACTTTTTTTATTCTGCTCTCTGCGCAACGTATCCCTTTCCTTAGTGAGAGCATAAACCTGAAATTGGACAGCAAAATGATTTAATCAACAACAATTACAATAAGAACAATACAACAAAAACAAGATGAATACAACCCTACCAAACACTTAAACAAGAACTATGTGGCAACCATGACACAATTAATATTGTTCCCAAAACCTAACAATGATGAAACAACGTGCAAGGATTGTTCAAATCTCATATTAAACGTCATATCTTTTAAGACTTTGCTCATAAACAGCACACAATGTAGAAGATTATCACAAGCTATGTGAAATTTAAAGAAAATACTATAGAATACAATAGTTAAAATAAATTTCTTTATAGACGGGACATGATAAATGAAAGATTGAGAAGAAGTGGATGAAGTGAACATGTCTAACACATGTTCAAAACAAAATTGTCAAGTACCTAATGATTGTTTACTCCTTTGTCAATGACTGCAGCATAAAATGTAATTGTAAAGTATCAAAAAAACATGTCAATTACACTGGATAATTGCGAAGATATGCTGCAGTCAAGCGACAAATTTAGTATTTGACACAAACTAAAGGATTGTAGAAAATTAGAAGTGGCACCAATCAGACTGTTTGAGATGATATGGTAATGAGCAACATAGAAACAACTCACACAGCTATAAGGAGGAATGACTCCAGCTAGTTTTTTTTTTTTTTTTTTTTTTTGAACATCTCCAGCTAGGTTGACACCAAAAGAAAAAGGGTTAGCTAAGATGGATATGGGTTAGAGGTGTTGAGAGATGATAAAATTTCCCTTCCTCAGACTTGGCTGAGGAGATGGCTCTCAATAGGACCAATTGGAGAAATAAAACCATGTAGACGGACTTTGAACTTGAAGGGTTTGTCAGTGAAGAAAAAGGATGGCTCAATCAGTAGTTAACAATTTATCAATAGTAAACATCAACTGCTATTATAAAATAGAAAAGTGACAACTAATGCAAATGAAACATGACTTATCATCATCCACTAAAAAGAAATTCATCAAATAATCATGCTGAGCCCAAACAAGTTAGCACAAACAAAACCCAAAAATGATAGAAAGGAAATTCACCTTTCTTTCAAGAGTAGATACCCTTTGATGGTACTCCTCCCGGAGTGACTCGATTTCTGCTTCATTGGACTTTCTCTGTAGAAAGGTTCTCACCAGTTAAAAAGTGAATAATTACAGATGCATACATATACATTTATGTAGAGAGAGATAGAGAGTAAGCCATATATTAGGTAACCAACAATGCAACTGCAGATATATGCAACATGAAAAGCTGAAACAACAAAGAAGCAAGAAAAAGTAGCAAGATTAATAGTTGCTAATTCTTAAGCAAGTTTGCTTATTGTAGTGGGTTGGGGGATGAACAACTTTCAACTTTCAACTGAAGCGGAAGGTTTGATGTAAGACAACTAAAAACTTGTAAATGGACTAGCAAATGAATTTTTCATAAGACAGTACAACAGTAGGTATACCTAGAGGTACAATTGAAAAGGACAGACAATGATAATAAGAAGGTATACCTAGAGGTACAATTGAAAAGGACAGACAATGATAATAAGAAGGTATACCTAGAGGTACAATTGAAAAGGACAGACAATGATAACCACACATACTTTACAAAATCATTAGAACTAAAAGAAAGTATTCTTGAACTATACATCACACAACACAAAAAAAATTGTGAATTAGTGCCATTCACAAAGGCAAAAGTCAACATGCTGTTAAGCATCATAATTTCAAAATGAACAAGAAATAAGCAGCTCTGATGGTTAAGGCCGGCCTCTCTACGCACAAGGTAACGAAAAAGGCATAAGCTGCATGAATTAAGGCTAAGAAGCATGGATACGTGACATGACACGGACACACAAATTTTAAAAAAATGCAGGACACAACACGTTGGGGATAGGCACAAAACACATAATTTTATATATTTATTATATATTATATTTTTAATATGTGCAAAACACATAATTTTATATATTTATTATATATCATATTTTTAAATATTTAATATGTATTTTATGTCAAATATTTAATTTTTTCAAATTTATCAACCTTAGGTATGCTATTTTAGTATAAAAAAAAATTTATAAATTTTAAAAAATAGTCCTCAGTGTGTCCCAATGTATCCCAAGTGTCCTAGCGTGTCTAACTCTTTCTAGTGTGTCCGACACGTGTCAGACACCCATACGTGAAGTAAAAATAAAAATAAGACAAAGAATAAAAAAAAAGTAAGGCAATTTCATATCAATATTGAGAGAAAGAACACATCTGTTCTATTTTTCCTTTTTGGTATCAAAATTAACAATTATTTTACTATATTGTTGATTTCACAATCACAATTGTTAAAAGCATTTTATTGATCAGCGTCAACTTTGTAACATGGAATTTGGAAGCACAACCAATTGTTAGTTGTCATGATGTAAAACATAGAGAAGGCTTTCTAAAAGCTAAAATAAAACAAGAAGCCTATTTTAAAATACAATACAAATAACACATGAGTTTCTTGTAGTGAACAAGAAAAAAGAAGTAGCACCTTATGAGGAAAATTCTAAGCGGTGATTTTAGTTATATTACATCATTGATTTAACACCAAATGACTAGCAAAGCAAATTGTCATGTGACATCATAATGCAAAGGAACTATGATCGAAATATTTACCATTGTAACGCCATATCTTAGGAGAAACAACTTTTTCTTTTCTTTTCTTTTCTTTTCTTTTATCTTAGGAGAAACAACTTTTTTTTTTTTTTTTTTTTTTTTTTTTTTTTTTTTTTTTTTTTTTGATCAGGAATTTTATTGAAAAAGAAGAAGACAAGGAGTCCTCTAGAGAAAAGTACATCTCAGTGCAAAAGAAGAAAAAACTCTATGTTGCAAACTGACAACTAATTCTTAGAAATTTCAGCATTCATTTTGCTAATTTCCATTTTTATTTCTCAGCCCCCAATTTGCATGGGTTAATGTACTTGACAATGGTGTATCACTAGAAACCCATCTTATGGTGTCAAATCAATTTTATTTTCTTTTCTTTTCAATTGGTGGGAGGGGAATAGGAGATGAGGAAGCCACATCACACAATGATGAGACTCAAGCTTGAGCATCACACTTAGTAAGGGAGTACCTCATCCACCAGGCCAGCACTTGCTTTATTAAAGGATTCATATGATGCATGCCATAAGAAAAGCAAGAGAGAGTAAATTAAAAAACAACGCCCAAATAATACACATTAATGTGCGTTTGGAAGGAGAAATATTAGATGCACACCTAACCTTTGGCACAGTGCAAAAAGTGGTTACCCTAAGACTTGAACCCATAGCCACAAGGTTATTAAGAAGCAAAAAAATTTGGAATTCATTGACGACTTTGAAGCATAGACATGAACACAACACGACACGGACATGTCGACATGGCAAATTCCAAAAAAGTAGGACACATACACGACTCAGACATGGTTTGGACACGCTGCAAATAATTATATCTTAAATATTATATTATCTAGGAATATATTATATTATATAATTATATTTGTGCATTATATATACAAAATTAAATAATTACTTCATACTAGGTAAATCTTGTATCTAATTCTCTGACATGAATTTTTAGACTATAGCAAACATATTAGTTGTGTTACTTCCCTTATCCTCCATAGCCATCTACTAATACATTTACATATCTTTTCATTTTCAATTTTATTTTATGCAAAACTTCTATAGAATTATTCTTAAAATTATACATTTTTTTGAGGATATAACATATTTATGTCAAATTCTTAAATTTTGAAAGTTATATTTCAACAAATGTTCAAGAAATGTTAGTCTCATGTTTACTTTTTAGTGATAGACATGGCCAAGAAGTGATGGACACATGTCTGAAATTAAGTTTTGGCATCACCTATAAAAGTCAAAAAGTCACTAAAAAAGCAAAAAAATCATATTGTTTACCTTGTTTGGGCGGGAAAAATAAAAAATAAAAAATAAAAAAATAAGACAAGTTGACTGACATGCACAGAAAGCAGCAGTGCAGCTCAGTGGGGTGAAAAAATAAATAATAAAAAAAAAACAGTTCAGCTCAGTGCAATGACGTGGCACAATGTAAGCCACGACTTTGGAAATAAGTACAAGTTGATTGACATGCACAGAAAGCAGCTCTCAAATCAGAAGGGTAGCAATGTAATTTTGCTATTTGATACAATATTTTAATACACATTTTTTCGTAAAAAGTCAAAAGGTTATCCAAACATACATCTTTTTTCTCCCTGTTTTTTTAGCCAAAAAGTCAAAAAGTGCACTTATATAGATCATCCCAAACAAACACTAAATTTTACTTTTAATTAAAGACAAATAAAAAGGAGTATTGGACACATGTTGGAGAGTGTCCGCGGAGTGTTGGTGACTGACACAAACATGTTACCTCCTCAAAAGTGTCTGTGCTTCTTATATTGACACCTAGGTGGCACTCACATGCAAACTAGTGTTGTGATGTTTTTAGTCAATTTGATTCTTATCCATAGTTTCTTTAAGTTAGTACACTGCTGGTTTGATGTTACTAATGTTTCAAAACTCAATATTTTTTAAATAATTTTAACATTGCTAGACATGGACTATAATGGTCGCATCTGATTAATAACTTTAGAATCAGTTGTAGTCAGAAGATTGGTGGTTCTGAAGTCTAATATAACTGTGTAACGCTTTGAATTCGATATTTAACACGTTTAAGAATTTAAGTAACTATAAAGTTATCTTTGAGACACCATGATCCAATTCTAAAACGAGGCATGACACTGGAGAGAATCTAGGCCTAATGCTGCAGAATCTTAGTGCATCAACCTCTCTCTATGATTCAAATTCCTATTTCACAAGTCTGGCACCTTCACTCCCTCGAATGTTCAACCAAGCACCCAAAAAACATAAAATGACACTCATTAATGTTCATACCGTACCTATTTGCCTCCCCAACCCTTTTCTTACATCCATACAAACCATTAAAAATCTGTAATTATTTTTTGATAAGAAACTAATCCTAAACTTTTTCTGCGATATTCACAGTTAGCCCTTGGCAACCACGGCCTAATATCAATTGTGATAAACACAGCTTGTAGGAGGGCGTCTCCTGTATTTCTCCTGCATCATCATACCTTCCTTCTTCCACCTTCCTTCACCAAGAGATCTCTCCCTTGTGTATTCCACCTCAGGCTGTTATATAATATATACTGTTATTCTTCTTCTACAATTGTTTTATTAATCAAAGGACTACAAAAATAAGAAAATGAAAAGTTGGATCCTATTGAGCTATTGGATACAAATAATTTAGTGATGAATTAAAAGAATAGGAAAAAGAATTACTGATATAAATAGACAAAGAGGGATCAAGAGCCAACAGAAAACCAATTGAATTTAAACACCAGAAAAAAATGAGCGATAATTACAATTCTTAGGAATATATATGTGCGCCACTAGCACAGTATTCCATGGACAACCCGAAATACCCAATAAAGAACGAATGTTAGATCCACACTTACCCTCAAATCCTCAATTACAGCCTTTAGATTCTCGTTCTCATTCATCAACTTAGCAATTTCATCCGCTTTTGCCTGGAAAAATAAAATCAGAAAATGATTCGATTTCAAGGAGTATAAATTCAATAAAAGAAGCATAAATGCCATATTGTAGGACATTTCTTCAAAATGCAGTAAGGAGATATATAATCAAGGATAAGAAAAGCCATCAAAACATGCAGCTATACACGTAAAAGAAGATTTAGAAATAATGGTATTGTTAATATCTTACATATACAAAATGCAGCAAAATGATAAAATACTAATACTGGCTGCTAATTGATTTAGACTTTAAAACAAAATTAAAAACAAAATGTGGCGAGTCAGAGTCCTCATGCAGCAAAGAGTTTAAGCATCCTATCAACCAAAAAATAATTTAAAAAATCAAGTGAAATAAAAGGAGCAGAGCAAAGAGAAAGAAAACCAATACGAAAGAAAGAAAAAGGTACACAAAAGGTTGAACCACGTTCACTGGTTTTGTAGCAACATAACCAGAGTTAATTTTATAGCGAATGCTTGTTAGTACAACAGTCAGACAGCTGAACAACATCTTATGCTTGGTATAAAGCGGCTGTTAGACTATACAAACGTATTTGTGAGTAATATAAATGAGACAGAACATAGCTTTAAATTGGCTATTTTAGTAACTTTTGAGCTTTTTAGCTAAAATATGAGGTAAAAAAACTAGTATGTTTGCGATGACTTTTTGGCTTTTCACAAAAAAGTGCAAAAAGTATAGAGAAAAGGTTCTTTGACTTTTTTGTATAGTTTGTTGGCTTTTTAGTTTTTTTAGTGACTTTTTGACTTTTAGGGTAAAATAGTTGCCAAATGAGGCCTAAATCAAAATGGTCCTCGCAGCTTGTTTGTCTTCTCAGAAACAAATAAAATAGTGAAAAACTAAAAACACTAGTTTCATGTATAAAAATGGAATTACCATCCAACTTTCCTGAATAGAAACTCCAAATCAATGGCCTAAATACCTAATTATCTTAACTGGCATCCTCTTCATACCCTTGAGCCTCCACTCTTCCCATGTTTATGTGTATATATAACATTTATGATGCTAAAATGCACACGACTTTTCTACAAAATCAAGTGCAAAAAGACTTTCTAACCCCAGTTAAACTCAGGTTCTAAATTATATTTAGATTTCTATGCATCAGGCAGGAGGCTTGATTACAAGTCACACTCCCCATGAAATAACTGTAAAAGTTAAATACCTGAGCTTGTCTAGCAGCTCCCTGTAGAGCAGTTTCCATCATTTTCATTTCCCGTTTCAAACTCTCCAGTTCAACCACAGAATCTGCAATGTCAGATGCACTGATTCCAGAACTCACACGTTGTTCTGTAACATCAGGTTCATAATCACTGGCTTGCTGATTCAGCTCAACTTCTCGAACAATTGTATCATTTTCATGAGAAACCGGTTCAGAAACCATCTCTGAAGCCTCATCTGGAGGTGGCCCAGCAGGCAAGTCATCTGTAAAATGTTCCTCAGCACTTTCAGTCTCCTTAGAAGTAGGAGAAACGGAACCAGGGAGCTCTGTCTCCATTCCAGCTTGGATCTCACTCACTGCATCCTCAGCTTGAACTGGAGAAGAGTTCTCTACAATCTCTTCTTCTTGCATCTTCTGTTCATCACTGGTCTCATGCAAATTGACAACAAAATGTGATTCAGGTGGCACAAGGGCACTGCTCTCAACTTGATCTACTTCATTGGTTCCTGGCTTGGCTTCCACTAACCCTGAATTTTCAAATGGCCCCAATGCTGAGGTCTCCTGATTGGGGGGCTTTAAGGAATTGGGTTCCTCAGCATGTTCAACATTAGATTCAGATGATTCAACAGGTATTGGTTGTGAATCAGATTCAGATTCAGATTTATTAAGGTTTACTGGTTCAGATTTACCAGTGTCAACAATAACTGCATTTGTTCCTTCAGCAATTGCAATATTTGTTCCTTCTGCAGCGTCTGGAAGCACATGAGAGCTTTCTTGATTTACTACTTCAGCAGGTCTGGTTAGCTCAGTGGCAGAATTTGTGGACCTATCATTTGCAGCCTCTTCTTTTTCCTCAACAGAAGATGGAGACTCTGATGACTCAGGTTTCTCAATTGATTCTACTGTACTTTCATCACCTTTATGCCCCATAAAGGCTATGACAGGTTCAAATATTGTTTTCGTGTCTGTGCCCGAAGACCATAATCCTGAAGCTGATATGGATACACAGAAGTGATTATGAAACAAAATTAGTCCAAAATCATCATTTAGACTTTCATACAAAATATATTGGATATGGTTTTGGATCTTGAAAGTTGAAAATTCAGACCAAAACTAACAGATGTAATTAAGTATTGGGTTTTGTTTTTTATTTAATTCGATTGGCAAACATGTCAATAGTACAACTAGTTAATTGATAATGGTGTGCATTATATTACTTGGAACGTGGATCGTTTCGGTACGTGGAATAGGAACGGGATTGTGATATGCCACATGCTCTAAAATGTGGTATGATAGGGATAGGCTTGTATATATTACACTTAAGAATATAAGATACGTCTAGAGTAATTTCCTTTTAACTATTAGACATCCAAAAATATATATATATATATATATATTTATTTTTGATGTTTTTGTCTATTCAAAACTTAAGTCATCTTAGATTTTAATTCATTATATTGATTTTTTTCCTTCTTATTAGAAATGGATCACTAACTTTACCGTTTTGGAATGAAAATGTACCATGTTTCAGAACGTGCATACCAATACATAATTAGGATATTAGCATTTTCTGGTAACACAGGGTGTGCAGGATCTTGGTATAGCTTAAACACTGTTATTCGGTATAAGCAGGCAGCAATTTACACACATCCATAAATTTTAGTAGTAGTTTGGGAATCCAGGCCAGCTTGACTCGTAGTGAATCAAGGTTAACAAGACTAGCAAGAACCAACATGATGATACCAATGAACATCTTGACTAGGGTTCACCTCTGATTTTGATATATATATATATATATATATTCTTGTAAGAAATTGATATAACCAACTTTTCCAAGTCCCAACTTTTCCAGTGGTAGCTTGAAAAAATTATTACAATTTCATGGTATCTTCCAACACAATTATACAACATTACTTGTGTCCACTTTGAGAAATTGGAAAGCAGTCTCCATTTGCATTGAAGTTATTGTTGTTTACAAAGAAAGAGCTATGTACAAAAGAATAGTAATTGGAATAGAAATAGAAATACCTTGAGAGTCGGGCTTGTCTTCGAAACCAAGAGCGGTATCGAAATTCTTCTCGATGTTCTTGACGCTCTCACTGATCTTATTGACAGCCCCAGCGAGGTCCGGGAAGTTCCCCAAAGAGACTTTCCCGCTAAACCAGGCCATTTCCTAGACCCAATTCAGAACAAAACTCTCAATTCAAGGCTCTAACTTCCCAGATCAAACGCATCGACAAACCTACAAAATCAACCAAAAAATACAATTTATTTATAACGAATGGCGATGTTGAACACATTGATGAATGAAAGACGAATCAAGAACCACTGGTTCACCATTTCCAAACGGAAAAAGAAGATCTGAATTGCAACTCAATACATATATGATATACCTATATAGAATGAAACAAAATAGAGAAATGGACCTGGTGAGGATCCAACAAGGAGGAGATCGAGAGAGAGAGAGATCTGCAATTGCAATGGGTTCCGTTCCTCCGAGTCCGAGTTGGTTTTGCACTCGGCAGAGTTGAGTCCAATATTTCACCGATGAAAATTTATTTTATTTTTGAAGGAACCACTACAGAACGGTGTCGTTTAACAAGTCGGGCGTTTTCCCAACCTTAAAGAATCTGGTTGTTGGGTACGAGATTTTTTTTATCGACGGCTAATACTCCACTTATACGTATTTTTTAAATTGACATGTGATATATATATATAATATAGATATTTATATAGATAAATTGATCTGTATTTAAAATATAACTAAATAAGAAATGAATACATACTCGATTGAAAATTTTAAATGATAAATGAGAAATTTCATAAATATAAACATTAAATTGTTGAAATCACAATCTTATTTTAAATAATAAATAATAAACAGGCCTTTTAAATATATAGTATTACACAAATACTTTTTATTAACTTCTCACTTTAGTTTTTCATAATTTGTATTTGTAATACAATTGAAGGTATGAAATTAATTACACAATTATATAATTTTGTTTAATAGTTCATTTCATAATATAAATTTATTGAACCCACTATTGCATATTATTTGCATACTATTGATGTTAGAATGCATTAATATCACTCTGTAATATATTTTTATACATCGAGAATTGTTAAGTCACATTTCTTGTGCTACGAATATCTTGCATGATAAAAAATATAACATTAGTCATTAATATACAATTGCTATACAATTGTCATTAAAAATAAATATAAAAAGTACAATTATTGTCATGATGTAAGTGTTTTACAAAATCTTAGTTTGTTATTGAAATTATTTGTTATAGACACTTATTTGTATGACATATATGTATATATGTATTGAACATAAATTAATAAAAGAACAAGATACAATTTCATAATTTTTTCCTAACAAATATAATTATATTACTAAAGTTATATATATTAGAAAATTAAAATATCCAATAGTGTGGAAATGTGGTTTGGAAATACTTTTCTGATCCTGGGGGACGCTCGTGATCCGCTAATAGTCACCTGAAAAGGAATGAACACTCCGGTCGGAGGTGTCAGAATTAGCACTCCGACGAACAAGTCAATCTCAACTCTCAAGATTACTTATATTCTAAGTTAAGCACAACAATTCTCACATACCTTTCTTCGTCTGTTGTTCCTTTATTTATACTCGTTTCCTGGGCCTCGGGGCCAGGTTCACTTTTCACTTATTATTCTTTTATTTACTCGGCTCCATAGTTCGGTATCTACTCGGCTTATATGTTTTATTCGGCTTCCTGATCGTGCAGGAAAGAGCCGAGTAATATCTGACTTATAGAGTACGCTTCTGATTCTTCTAATTATCCGGCCCCCACAATTGCCCCCCAAACACCCTGCTATCATCAGTTAGTCGGCGTGTTTGGCTTTTAGCTTGAGAAGTCAAAAAAAATTCGGCGATTAACCCTCTTCCCAATGTGTGTCAGAATGCGCACACGCTTCTTAGTCATCGTAACGTTTTCTCGCCCCTTTGTACACTGCTTCCATTTAATATGATTTGAAATTGCCTCTTCTAGTGTGTGTCCTGAATGTTCAAAAGATATCTTGCTCGCCCTTCAATGCAACTCTATCTCTTTGCGGCTTCTACAACTTGTTTTTCACTCTATCTCCTGTAAGTCTTCTTCTCCTTCATTTTTGATCCCGCTTCGTTATTGGCTTTTAACTTTCCTTAATCCTTGGGTTTGGCTTAAAAAGAATGGCAAAACATCTGAAAGAGCTCCTTTCGGAGGATCGAATCTCCGGCTTTCGACGCCATTTCTCCATCCCTGATCACGTCCATCTGTCACTTTTGGCAGACAGCATCACAGATATGCAGAGGGAAAATGAGAGCACAATCATCTTTCCTCTCTTATCAATTGCTGAGGGCGGAGTCCACTTTCCTCTTCACCCACTTTTGAGGGCCATTTTTAGATACTGGGGTCTGATCCCCTCCCAGTCCAACGTCAATTTCTTTCGTATCATAATGGGGATCGTAGAACTAAATCGTCATCTTAGGACCAATTTAGGTATTCCTGCCATTCGGCACTGTTACGCCCTTGCCAAATCCACTGGCTGGCTAGGGTGCTACTTTCTTAGAGCTAAGGATACTGATCTTCACTTAGTGACTATGCTCGCCAGCTCTGGCAAGCGTGTCAACGACGTCATGGTCGTTGTCCGCAGCAACTGGGAGTTCGGCGAAGGCGAAGATCGTCTAGACCCGGTGCTGAGGAAAAAAGTCAAACCAGGTGGCCGATTAGTTCACTTTGGTCTTCATATTTGCATGCATATGTATTCGGCACCATGTTCATCTTATCGTTTTGTTTGTGCAGGCAGCAATTTGAAGAAAGTGTTGGTTTCAGACGACAACGTTGTGCTTGCAGAAATCAAAACCGCACTACAATTCATCGGCCGTCCAAACCTTCGAAAACAATGGAGGGCAGCCCACATTCTCCTACGGTATGAGTCGACTTACACAACGTTCTCGGCGACAAACAACATTCCGATCGCGCAAGGCGACAATCAACTTGCTGCCCTCATCTTTCCTAGCTTCAAAAAATTGAGGTAGATCGGTTTAGAGTCATCTGATTCTGAACACGCGGAAGAACAAGTGGCCGAACTAATCGCCGAGGATTCGGACCGGTCAGCCGCGGAAGTTGACGACGTAACTAATTCGGCCTTTGAGGAAGCCGGATTGAACTATTCTGACCTTCCGTCTACATCAGGCCGAGGGGACGCCTTCAAAGATATTTTTTCAAACTTGGGAGACCTTCCCGACAATTACTCTGAAGATATGGCTGGAGAAAATCTTGCACAGCTGGCACGAAAGAGGAACGCCGAATGCATGGCTGCTTGTAAAAAGGCCGAGGCCATCCATTCCGGATTTGTCCCAACTGAATCTGTTCAACATACTGTTGTAGAGGAATTGGCCCAGGTTGTCATCGTCGAGACGGAAAAGGATGTCGAGCGCCCGATTGCAGAAGAGCTGCTGATTTCGGAGGATTAAGGCGAAAAAAGAAACACCGAGGACAAGGACGGCTCCGAAGACGGCCCTGTTGATAAGCGGCCATGCTTGGAGGAGTCGGCTGTGGTTGCTCCTTTCATCATTGAACCAAAAATAAAAAACATGCTGATCTCCTCCGAAGCGTCGGCTTTGAAAGATCCCGCTGTGGCATTGAGCTTGGCTGCCGTGGTCTCCTTGCCGACTGACATAGCGACCTTTCGTGCCGAGCCGGACTTGGCAACGGTAGCATTAGTTGCTCGGTCGGCCTTTTTGGTAAGTGTTTATCCTTGGAATGTGATGATCTTTTGGTTTGCATTCGATGTTTCTTGGAATGTGTCGATCCTTTGTTTTGCAGACAATTGGTAGGATCGCCGAATTAGGCCGACGCCAGCGTGACGCTGTTGAGAGGATTGGCTGTTTATAATCGGAAATTGATGGCCAAAGGAGCAGGGCGGAATTTGAGGCAATGAGGGCCGTAATGGAAAGTGCACGAGTAGAGGCTGAGAAGGAAAGGGCCAGGACTGCTGATCAACTCAGGTCTGACACCGAGCAGAGGGCAAGCGCGAGCGAGGAATCGCTCAAGTTAGACAAGGAGGCGCTTGCGAAACTGGAGGCCGAGTTGGAAGGGTTGAAACAGGACAAGGAAAAAGCTGAATCTGAGGCTTCCGCGGCGTTCGAGGCTGGGAAGAACGCCGCTTTTAATGACTACGTAGAAAAAGTCTCCAAATTTGAGAATCGGGGATTTAGACACAGCTAGCTCAAAGCCCTTGCTGCCACTGGAGTTACATTGGTCATGCCAATTCCATACGAGCAAGTGGACGTTGAGCCACTTGAGTCTGATCTTGAGACTTGATTTGGGTGACATTCTAGTTTTGTTAGGCTTTACTCAATTGCAATGTATGCTTTTTGTTAGTTAACTTCCGTCTTTTTTGGATTTTCATATGTAAAATGTCCGTTGCTAGCGCCCAATTTATGAATGAAAATTTTCTATGCTCTCGAATTATTTCTCATATTGTTTGCTGTATGAGTATATAGTTAGGAGAATCAACAGTTAGGACAAAATGTCAAGCTTACGTAAGACGACAGACTTAATCAGCCGATTAAAATTAGGGATCTGATTTAATCATAAACAAAATGAATTTATGACTACAGTTCAGATAAATCGATTCATGGAACGGCTGGGCACTCGAGCCGTCTAGATTGATGAATTTGCCCTTGCCCCAGCTGGTTCATGATCGTAGAACGCCGATTAACATGTTATGTATGAATCTTGTAGAGAATCGATTCGTGGAACGGCTGGGACACTCAAGCCATCTAGATTGATGAATCTGCCCTTACCCCAACTGGTTCATGATCGTAGAACGCCGATTGATACGTTACTTATAAATGTTGTACTGGAGAATCGATTCGTGGAACGGTTGGGGCACTCAAGCCGTCTAGATTGATGAATCTTCCATTGTCCCAACTGGTTCATGATCGTAGAACGCCGATTGATACGTTACTTATGAATCTTGTACTGGAGAATCGATTCGTGGAACGGGTGGGGCACTCAAGCCGTCTAGATTGATGAATCTGCCCTTGCCCTAGCTGGTTCATGAATGTAGAACATTGATTAACAGTGGTGGATGGGGCGATTGGGGCATATGACTCAGTCGGCGCCGGGCTATTGACGCTTTAATATTAATGAGATTGCCTCGGAAGTGCTGCTCTCGTAGGGAATAAATGGGCGTGTACTTCGTGAACGAGGGTTCTATTTATGTACTCTGTCAGCAATTCAGTCCAGCTCTGGGAAGAAGATTAAACAAGTGCGAATGTCAAATAAGCTTTTCTTCAACAGCAGAGGTGAAGCGAAGACGCTAGCTGAGTTGGGAGGTGTCATGAGTCGAAGCGGTAAACCTTCACGCGGGAGCAGTAGGACTTCGAGGGATCGGGAGGGACACCAATCTCCTCGTCGTCGAAGTAGGTCGCCCAGGAGGGACAAACAGCCACAGCGTAAGTCTCCTCAACCTCGTCCTGGAAGGGAATCCGACGCGACTCCTCGCCCATTGAGTTTTGCGGTCTT